ACATTTGTGCAAATAAAAAATTATTTCATTCTACAACAACTTATATAATAATACTTAAAAAATTAAAATATTATTATTTTATATTTACAATACTCATTATATACTTATTTTCTATCTACAGTATCCGTTAATCATATTATTCGTGTCAAACTTTAATTTGACCCCTTATTACTCATGTCCACTAAGGGCATGTTTGTTTCGAGTATAAAATTTAGGTGGTATAAAATTTTATATCTATTCCACTCCGATCCAATAGTATATTATATCCGGTGTTAAACTATAATCTCATCATTCTCTTTGTTTGTTTATCACAAATATTATCTGTGTAATACCTACTTAAAAAAATCAACAATTGCGGCTAACCAATGTAAAAAATAATTTTAACCTTTAAAAATTCAAAAATTGCAGCTAGGTTTTTATATGAGAATTGTACCAGAGGGCATTTTGGTCTTTTTAATTTATAATATCTATACCAAGAATATAATATCACCCCCTATGTAGTATTTATTAAGATTTTTACAAGGCATTATGACTACTGTTCATAGGTATTACGATCCGAAAAATAGTACTGATTATAAAATGTCAAACAAACAACGTATAAGATGGAGCTCACGTGCTATTTTCTTAATACCACTTTCTTATACCACTCTAATATTCAAAACAAACGACCCTGATGTTATTTTTTTTTGAGTTTTGTATCGGTTTAAGTTCGTATTGATGAATAACTATTTTTAAAAAAATTATAATTGATTGAAGTGATTTATAATCAATTACGACATTCTATAATTAATCATCAATTTTCTTGTCGGTTATAATTTCATATTTCAAAGGTATATCCTCACCTTTTTAAGGGCCTTTTTTGTAAATGACTAAAAAAAGGGGTTGGTACAAGGAGTTTAGGAAAAATAATTCAATAGACCAACAAAAATCATATATGGATGCAATTTTGAAGTCTTAGACCGCGCTCCCTGGTCTGAATGCTTAAAACCATGAACATTGGATTCAGCAAAACCAGCGGGGTTTGATGGGGCTAAATCAGATTCAATTGGTAAAATATCTCTGTAACCTTTAATTTAGTTTGAATTATTTAAATAAATATAAATATGAATTAAATTAATCAATAAATAAAACAATTATTTACGTGACGAAGACATGGTGATGCAGTCTCACATCGTTGATTCCATACTATTTTTCTTTTATTTTCTCACCTGCATTAATCCTACAGATCTTTTCTACCTACCAATATGCACAGCTTCAGCTACCACCTTTCGCGGTTTGTTACAATTTACTTAATCATGATGCTTAGTTAATGGAGGCTAGGGCACAGCTTAGGGCACAGCTACTCTACAGTTTAGCATAGGTGCAGTTCTCGAAAATGATGTTACAAAAATAATGACGTTTTGAGAATTAAACCTCTACGGTACAACAAGACGTTGGATTTGTTTTATTCCACAGTTTAAAATAAATTCATCTAATAATTATTAATATTTTTTTTAAAATTATTAATATTATACTGTGAGTTCATGTGCGAATTATCGCTGATATATTTGTATATATTGAAGTCCTAGTTTCTATTTATGTTGATGTAAATGGACTAGTGAAACAATCAAGTAAAGTGGTCTAGTGGGATATCGGTCTTACTCCTCACTTTGAGGTTGGAGTTCAAGTCTTGTAATTTTAATTGCAGTTTGGTGATTGGTCGCTATGCTACCCTAATTAGATCTGATTTCAAGAAGTGTTTTAAGCACGATTAAGGACTTTATGATCCTACTGGTAAAAACTTATTAGGATAGTTGCTGGACACTCTTTTTTACTCCCGCACCTTTTTAAACCAGCAAAAAAAAAAAGAAAAAATTGACTAGTACTACATTTCGAGGTACATGTTTGCTTTTATTTTTTGTCGGAGTCGAAAATGCTTTGGGGGTAGCTATTGCGTCAAGCTCGTGTTGACGTTGCATTTATATAGGACTTTACCAAACTTTTTTAAATTATAAAAAAAAAAAAAAAAACCATTACGAAATTATAAAATTAAGTTTAGAATTAATAAATTTGCATTGGTCTTTGGAATAAATAAGTTGATATTGTTTTACTATACATAATAAAATAAAATTATATATAAAATTAAAATTATTTTAATTTAATTAATTTATACATAATTCAAACCCAATATAAAATTATACGTAAGCAGATCAAAGACCAGATATCCAACCTACCTTCTCTCCCTCCCTCCTCTCTCTCTCTCTCTCTCTCTGCTACAATATTGTTGATGTAACCTTTATGGTAGCTGTCCCTTTCCCTACGAAAAAATAGGAGAAAAAATTGCTTCCAAAAAAATTCAACACCTAACCCACCCCCCGAATACCAGACATACAACCCCCCTCCTCTCTCTCTCTCTCCGTCTGGGCTTGTACCTACCTTTTAGGCAGTTTTATCTTTTTTCTCACCCACCAAACAATGAGTTTCAAACGGCCTCTTAAAGACTTCATGGGACCAAAAAAAAACTATATTCACGGTTTCGCCTGTCCTTTACAACAATATTCACTTGAAATAACAATTGTCGTCATTTTGGAACAGGGCCAAGAGAAATGTTGGCCCTACTATTATCACAAAAATCATTGTTTTGGTTCTCTCAATTCCTCTTGTGGACACAAAGGTAGGTTGCAAATAGATTTTTTTTTTTTTTGTTTTTTTGTTATGACTATATTTATGTTGGAGTAATTGATTTAAGCTATTCATATTTTATCCTCTCTCTCTCTCTATTTTTTTTTTTGACGCTAATAAATTTTTCCTAATTCTAACAAAAACTAGGACAGCTGGGACGGGCCAAATCCGTTGAACCAACAAACAATTATCACCCCATCGTATAGCCACAGTTTATTAAGCCATTGATTTAGTAAATTTTGCGTGCAAAAGTAGACTTTACCCTTTGCCACACCATACGAAGCTCCATTCCGATTACTGGGTATTGTTTTAATATTGTGATTTGTGACTAGTTGAATTTGTTGATTTCAGTTGTTGATGAGTTCTGATTCATGACATTTCTGTGAGAGGTGTGGGTCTCTCAACTGAGTTTGGGCCACCCTTACGTTGGTACATCAAAAACATGGGAGAGACTATGGAATTGAAATTTTTCTATATTTTTTTAAGTATTATATCAAAATATTATTATCAGCTATAAATTGTTGATTGACTTATGTGTAACTATAAATTCCTAAAAAATTATAAAATAAGGAAAAAGAAGCATACGTGGAAAAGCAGTCGACCATCATCATAATCAACTCAAAATCCTTCACCTTTGAAAATCCAGTTTAATTGAGTGTTTGGTAGATCCAGTTTAATCCTTCACCTTTGAAAATCATTAACTAATCATTTCTTAAGTTTTGAGGGTAAGATAAGCCATATTAGGGTCAAAGTTAAAGTTAATTAAACCATATGCCCAATGATGTTAGTTAGATCTATCAACGGATTGGATTTGAATCAGATTCTAACCGGTTCGAATCCGAATCTAATTTTAAAAGTTCGATCTGAATTCAATACGATATTTTAATAGATCTTATTTTCATATTCATATCCGAATCCGTTAACAATTCGAAATCTGATCCAATTAAAAAAACTTAATTAAATAAATTTTAACAAATTATACTTAGATTTCAACTAAAATTCTTTAAATAATCACTTTTTTTTTAATATTTATATAAAAATCTATAATATAAAACATAACAAACTTCAATAAACTCATCCGATGGTTTCAAATAGATTCATCCAACGACCACTAACATCCCTCTCAAAACTATTCATATTGAATTTCCCCCTCTAAATCCATTATTTCTCACTTATCGTACCTTCAGGCACAGGTTACCTTTAGTATATAAATAATTCAGATCGAATATACATATTTTCGAATCTGAATCCTTGAAATATAAAATATCAGATTCAAACTCAAAAAATATTAATTTATATCTGACTATTTGGATTCGAATCAGAATCCGATCTATTTGACGGCCATAGTGTTACGCCTAGTTGGGTTTGTATTTGGGCCGTGACCCATACCTCTTTTTAACTGAACCAAAACTAAGGGAGGGCTGAACTTAAGCTTTGGCAGAGTCTTATAGTTTTCATGTTGGGTACTTTTATATTGGGTTTGGCAACATATGAAATTGTATTAGTTTTCATGTTGGGCTTAGCAACATGGTACAATAGCTTTTCTAGTTTCACATCACTGCCTCATTGCAATATTGCAGATTTATTTATGCAGTCGTGTAACAAGCTATTTTTTAAGAGGAAAATGTAGCAGAGAAATAATGGCAAAGCATTAGCATTTCTAGGAAATAATGGCAATTCCAATAAAATGGCGTACCCAGTATACGAGATTCTCTGTAATAACGGGATCTAAAGAGGGTTAGATATACGCAATTTTATCCTGTAAGAAGAGAGACTGTTTTTACGACTTGAACTCATGATCTACAGGTCACAATGGAACAATCTTACCATTGCGCCATGACAATTCCAATAAAGATAATAAAATTCGTTAAAAAAAAAAAGTATCATAGATGAGCAAAGCTAACAAAAAATAAAAAGATTCATCGCTTTGAAGGCTAATGTCCTTCATACACTAATAGTCAATTGGCCTTCAAGGTCATGCAAAACTGCATAATTTCAGTACAATATGTGCTGTTACTTATAGAAAAAATGGAAACAGAGAGAGATCTGGAGCCCAGAGTTCTCTTTCATCCCCAAAAAATTGATGTCCTAAAATTGTATACATTTCCAGCTATAAATCTGTCTACCACAAAGTGGAATTGAGCTCTATCGAACCGCTGAATAAACAAATAAAATGAGTTTCAGTATGACGATTTGCATCTCCTCCAGTCTCCCACATCGAGAGAATTTTAGAAACAGTGTATCGAAGATGATCCAATCTCGAGAATAGTAAAAAAGATTGAAAGGTATACTGAAACTATGTGATGAAATGAAAGATTATGGACATAAAATAAAGTCACGAGGGTCAGAGAGCTTGCTTTGATTTTGAAGGTCGAGCTTGTTATGGCATGGTGAAGGCATAGATGGAGGCACTGGTCCTCTCGGAAGCTGGGTGTTAAACAAGCTTTCAACGCTCCTTCCACTCATTGCTCTTATGGACCGTCCTGTGGAAGCCATTGCTGAAAGCAGAATGAAAAGAACAAATGCAAACCTTGGACCCACCAGAGACCTCTGACAAAATGACATGGTTTTCTTCTTGTTCTTCTCCTGATTGTATGGATGCCCAGAAGTTGCATGTATTACTGAAACATAAATCTATACATATATACACAGTTACACACACACACACACACAATGATACATTATATATATATATATATATATATATATATATATACACACACACACACACACATACACTCAATGAGGAGAGAGAAAGTAACAGGAAGAGTGAAAATTACACTTACACCTTGAGTTATACCTAGCTGTTCATATTGCCCCCTTAAACTGTCTATTTTCTCACATTGCACTAATCAGGCCAAAAGATTTTGCCCAGTTGAGGAGAGAAAGGTCGTATCTCCTACCTTTGTGGGTTTCTATTTTTGTCCTGATTAGTTCTAAAAATTTGGGCACACTAGTGTAAAATAAAGGGCATAGTTTAAGGGGTGCTGGTGTAATCATCTATATATATTTTTGGGGTTTTTTTTTTTTTTTGGGGGGTGGGGGGAATGGTTGAATTTGGATCCAATTTTGCGTCGGACTGCAACAATATTTGAATAACAAAAAGAGTTTGAATGCAAAGAAATAAACCATGTTTGTGGAGAGTGAAAATTATGGTGTTTGGCATGTGGGAAGACTTTAAAATGGATAAAAGTCGTAAGTTGAAAGCAGCCATTTTAGAAATGCAAAAAATTCTGTGTTATTGACAAAAGGGTATATTGTTTTTTAACAATTCCTTTACAGTCATCTATCATGTGTTTACTTTTCTGTGTTTAGTGTATCTCAGAGTCTTTAGACTCCGTCGGAATGCTTGAAAACTTGACAAATGTAGCTTCAAAACCATGATCCGCATGCCTTGCTGGCTCGACGGCATTTTACACTATTTTTTCTACTCTCTCTCTCTCTCTCTCACACACACACACAACCCAGGAAGGTAGGCAGAAACTTCCCCCTGATCCCAAGTGTAGTTAAACATTTTCTTAGGTACGTGAATGGCATGCAACATACTCACAGATATATATATATATATATATATATATATAGAGAGAGAGAGAGAGAGAGAGAGAGAGAGAGAGACCGGGCATATGTTTATTGAAGCCAATAAAAGTTGGTTTATATAGCTAGGGCCAATTGAAGTTCAAGTCCGGCAAAGCTACAAAGATATACAATCAACTAAACATAACAGTGGCCTTATTAGACAGGTAATGAAGGTTGCGTGGGTGCTGATAAAACATTTCCTTGATATGACTTGGACTCTTCTTTGAGTGGAAGTGTGTGTTGTAATTATTCTCAAAAGTCTTCGTACCCTTGTAAGGCCAAACAAAGTACCCTTGTAAGGCCAACACAAAGACGTCATGACTCAACATTTGCTAAATTTTTTATACTTCTCATTTGAGCTTTCTTGACTAATTATTCTTTTTTATGGGTTGGCGAAACAAGTTTTTTTTTTAAATTTCACTAATAGGCGGATTCTATAAACTTTGATCTAAGAAAATGAGTAACTTGTCCGCTCTTGTATTTCATTCTATTTTAGGTTTTTTATATAAAATAGAAAGTAACGACAATGCTTAAAGAGATTTAAGTCTAAAAGTTGCTCAACAAAAATAAAGAGAACGATCTAACTAATATTGATAGAGGTCTCATTTTTGTTCTCTTGGCTCACCCTAAGTGCAGTTTAATCCGACAAAAGTTTAGAACACAATTGACACGTGTAATAAAAGCTCGTGGTCTTAACTTTATCACAATTATATATAGTTAAATTACTAAATATTAATGTATATGGTAGTTTCTTATGTATCATTCTTTGTATTTTTTGGTTTAATTGTAGATTTAATTATTATGACTCCAGTGTTTTCCACATAAATCTATGTATTCTTATGAACGACCCTCTTACATCTCTATTCTTTCTTCTTCTATTGTTGTTTCCTGAGCCTTGATTTAGGAGGATTAATTCCTAACAAGGTAATTAATTAAGTATATTACACCCCTTTGCTAAAAGTGTTTAAAAAAGTTATTAATATGAAATGAGAATATATGTAGACAAACCTTTGTTTGAGACCACTTATAAATAAAGCTTATCAGCTCAATTGAAAATGGTAGCTGTTTGGCTAAATGTATAACAAATTCAAGCAGCTTATAGCTTCTATAAGGTTGAATCTATGAGCGACTTGGGGATGCTTATGGGCTTTTGTCTTCAGTTTTTTCTTCCTCAAAATCATTATACCGTGCCCCTACATTTTCTCCTCAGCCCTAAGTTAAAATTCAATAAAGCAGTCATGTCATGTGATTATTAATGCACAGTATCATCATTCAATATGATAGTTATTAGACTAGGTCAAATCTTATAGTTAATACATAATTGTTTGACGTATTTTCGAATTACGGGCGTGTTAAAATTTAATTGGACTTAAAATTCAAATACGTACGACTTTACCTATTCAAACCGGTGTGAAATTTTAAAATCGTGACTGTTCAAGCGATTGTAGCGAGACGTAATACTATCTCTGAGTTCTTTTCTATATCTTATAATTTAAGGACTTTAAATAATTTCTCAAATAATGATGCAATGGACTGAAACATAAAAAGATCACTGGAATACAAAGCCACGAGTAAACTAAATTCAAAGAATATAACAAGTATGACACTAAGCATTAAATAAAAGTAATAAAAGATCACTAGAATGATGAATTATAAGGAAATAAAATTGCTTGGGAGCAAGAGTAAGTGAGAATAAGATAGGCTTTGCGTAGAGTTTGTTAGGTTTGATCGTAGGATCCCTTCTTTGTGGCTTGACTTTTGTTATTTATAAGAATGACCTTCAACTATTAAAACCAGCTTTTCTTCTTTTTTGTCTTTATTGTGATCATGAGTTTGTCCCTTGAAATGTGTGGACAAGGTTAATCTGTCTCCAACTGACAAGCTCATAATGTCACGTCTCTCCATTTCTCGAAATCATTTGAGTCTTACTATGTTAACAATTTTGTCAATTGTGGACTCTCACAGACTCCTTTATAATCGTTAAATCTCTTTCACGTGTCACACTTTAGTCTTTGTTATTTTTTGGTGTAAACAATTATATAGTGGTTTATAAAACCTCATCCTTCTCATTCACGATCATACTCCTCCCTTTTTGTAGGAGTAATTTCTCTAATTATACCCGTCTCTACTAATCACCACCCTCTATTAATCATTATAAGCTCCTCCCATCTTCACCAGCCCATTCTATACCTACATTCCCCTTCCTTGTCCTCTTCTCTTCACTGGTTAATATGTCTGCTCCATCCTCACCTTTTGTTATGACCAATCATCACTAGCATCTAAGAAATGGCTAATGTCATCTTTTTTTAAATATCAATTTTACCCTTGTCTTCTTCCCGATGCAAAGCCACTCCTCCTCCATTCACACACATCAACCACTATGCATTACCTAATTCATCAAATCAAAATCAACAACATCAAATTAAGACTTAGTTCTTCTCCTAATTTTTGACAAAAAAGAGACAAATAACCACAATAGCCACCCGCCAACACATTATTACTCCACGCAACCATCACTATGCACTACTATTCCACCACACCATCACTCCACACAAACGCCACCACCACAACAGCTACCTAAAGAAACGAAAACCACCACTATGCACATGCACAAAAAACAAAAGCAAACAACCAAAATCATAATCGATTTCCCCACTTTTATGAGTAGGGTGTGTGGTGGGGTGAGGGGGTGAACAATGATCTCTCTCTCTTATGATAAATATGTATAGATCTTTTATATATGTATTTTTACAATAATATACATGTTTTTGTATATTTGGTAAATACATAAAATTTGTATGGGAAAAACGCAAAAGCACTAATTCCATCATTCCCGTCAAGAATAAGCACTAACAAAAAATGTGTCGGTGAAATTTCAAAATAGAAATAAGGTGTGGTTAAATGTATGCCTATCTCCGAGAGGTATTGGTGAATTTTATTTTTATTTTAATTCATGAAATTGAAGACGTTATACTATGTTGGATATACTTTAGTGCCCGTTACTTGGATTTAAAGCTGAGTTGAACTGTGAGTAAACATATTGGAAAAAAAATGAGATTTGATAAGCTCAATTTGCACCTATAATTTTTATGTCTTTTTTTTTTTGAAAAAAAAAACTACTGGAAAAGGAACATTAGATTGTTATTAATATAAATGAAATCCTTTGAAAATCAAGAGAAAGGTGTGACAATTGGAAAATATTTTGGACGATCTTAGCATTGCTTGAGAAAATATTGAACTGCCACGGGTTTTGGGGGCGGGTCAGCGGGTTGGTATGCTTATCAGCCCGCTGATTACAAAACTAACCTCTCTTTTCATCTCATGGAGCTTCGCTTTTTGAAATATAGGATTAGTGGGTCAGAAATGTGATTGTTTCAATTACCTAAAATATTTTTAAAACCTTTTAAAAATAAAATAAAAATCAATAAAAAAATTTAACAATTATTTCAAAAATATTAATCAAAATACCTTAAATCACCCCCAAAACATTCTAAAATCGATTTCAATACTAATTCGTTAGGACGTCTTTGAAAACGTGAACAAATTTTAATCCTTCAGACTCTGCTAATGGCAAGAATTCCTTTATCTTCTTTACCTTCTTCTTAATGGTAAATGCGATGAAACCCTACTATGATGAACAGTATACACACCACGGACACGCGTTCAATGCTTGGAATCCTGTCATTCTCTCCCCTAACAGCGCCTCATGCAATTACAGGTTCAAGGTTAGTAAACAATTTTTATTCGGAATTATCATTTGGTGTGTATCCTTTTTGATGATGAGATATGTATTTTTTGCCCTAAATTTGTTTGTCAGTTGTCATTGCAGACTAATTGTTAAAATGTCTGCTCCTAGTACGAGAAATCAAGGAATTTCATTTGAATCCATGATTGTGAAGCCTCCTGCACACCCTACTTATGATCTGAAGGGTGTAATCAAACTTGCCCTTGCTGAAGATGCTGGAGATCGAGGTAGGGCCAATTACTTTATTATCATCTTCATATTTCTAACCTTGGTTTCAATCTTGATGATTTAAATACAATCATATCATATCGAGCACTGGTATAAATGGTAGGGGATGTGACTTGTATGGCCACTATTCCGGTTGACATGGAAGTGGAAGCTTATTTTTTAGCAAAGGAGGATGGGGTTGTTGCTGGAATTGCACTAGCAGAGATGGTATTCAATGAGGTTGATCCTTCACTCAAGGTATTAAGAAATTTTTTTTTTTTTGTTGGTAGTTGAATAATGTGAGTGGCTTGTATGCTTTGTCATTGTTGATGTGCATATTGATATCAGGTGGAGTGGTCAAAAAGGGATGGAGATGATATTCGCAAAGGACTGCAGTTTGGGAAAGTACATGGTAAGGTTCTTTTTTTTTTTTTTTTTGTGACATTGGATAGAGAACTAAGTCATATTGACTTCCTAGCAAAAGAAATACTGGCAAAATCCGTATTTACTCCCTATTTGTGATGGGGGAGTCTCCAGCTCCATGAAGCTTTCCATTTTTTGTTCACCAATGTTTGCAAGTAGGTCTGCACACTGGTTGCCTTCCCTAAGATTGTGCATTATAGGGATGTATCTTTCTTAAATTAGTTGTTTGCAGTTAGCAGCAAGGGGTCCGTTGAGGTGATCCTCCTCCTGCATGGTGGAGAGAAGTCTGAGGGCCTCCAGAGCCAGTAGCCATGCTTCACTGGCCACTGCTTTAGGTTTTGTGGTGTTGTGGTTCAAGATCAGTCAGCTATGCAGACTTAGTGGTTGGTCATTACAGAGGTCGTTGCTAGTTAGAAAGAAGTTCCAGATTATCTTTGCTTTAGCACAATCTCAAAGGGTGTGGATGGTGGTCTCTGAAAGGATTTATACCTGTCACAAGTGGCCTTTGATCATATTTCATGTGGCTTTGAGGTTGTTTGATACAAGTCTAACTAACCAAAAGAAATATTTCAGCTTTTGAGGTACCTCCAGCTACCAGATCCAATCCCAGTAACATATAAAGGTGCATAAGGTAGTTAGAGAGGTAATTTAAAGTTCCAATTTTAACCCCGTCCTCTTTTTGCCTCTTTTCTGAACATATGCAGGAAGGGCACACAGCATCGTTGTAGCCGAAAGGATTGTGCTTAATTTTATGCAGAGGATGAGTGGAATAGCAACTCTAACTAAGGTATGTTTGTTTTCTCCTTTAGTTATTCTGCAATCATGAATGTTCCTGCAGACCATAACATTAATATTTTTTGATATTTATTGATGAAAAAGCTTGATCACCAGCATTTGATTTTTAGCACAAAATTTAGACTTTTATGTATATATTTTCAAAGGTCATATATATGTATTTGTGTATATAGAACATCTCATTTAACTATGAAAATGATCATAATCTCGTTCTTCATTACTGGCAAATTACATTTTATGATAATTCTGAACTGATCTTGGTCAACCTATACAGTTCAAAGAATTTTCTGCTGTTGTCATTAAGCAATGACAACAATATGTAGAGCTGTTTTAGAAATGCTTTAGTTATGCTCTGTGGGCAGTGCATGATTAGGATCAATCAGAAGTCAGAACGTAAACCAAGGTTATGCACCTTTATATGTAAGTGGAACAACATGAAATTAAGTCATGCTATCATGGAGAGGTGCCTTATTTTGTGATACCTTTGTCATATCTGCCAAGGAGAGACTGAAAGGTACATGTTTTTTACAGGCCATGGCAGATGCTGCACACCCCGCTTACATTTTAGAGACTAGGAAAACTGCTCCAGGATTACGTTTGGTGGACAAATGGGCGGTGCAGATCACTTCTCTCACTTGTATTTCTTGTTTTCCTTGTGATATTCTGTTTTGCTGTGGATATTCTTTTTCGTTGACCTTCCCGTCTCTTTTTGTAGGTACTAATAGGTGGTGGTCAGAATCACAGAATGGGTTTATTTGATATGGTGATGATAAAAGACAATCATATATCAATAGCTGGAGGGGTCATAAATGCCCTCAAAACTGTGGACGTGTATCTGGAGGAAAACGCTCTTCAAATGGGGGTAGAGGTAGTCCTCTGAATTTTTGAAGTTTGCAGTGGATTGTAAGCCATAATGGATTAGTCCTTAATGGAGTGAAAATTCTTCCTAGACCATTTATGTGTTTCATTCTTTGTTTAGCGTGCCATTTGAAGTGTGAAGTGTTTCCTATTTCTCTGATTATGATTTACTCCAAATGGTAATTTAGTTTTTCACAGGAAAGGCAAAGTTTTTCATCTCTCTTGCTCTTTAATTCTTTTTTTTTTTTGGGGAAGAGGGGGGGGGGGTGCATTTTGCATGCATGTGCTTGTGCGAATGGACAAATGTAGGTTTATTACCTAGCATGTTGTGTATTGAAAATTTTGTTTGTCAGATTGAGACCAGGACACTTGACGAAGTAAATGATGTATTACATTATGCATCTCAAATGAAGACTTCCTTAACAAGAATTATGCTGGACAATATGGTTGTGCCCCAAGCTAATGGGGATGTTGATGTATCCATGCTTCAAGAAGCCGTGGAACTGATCAACGGGAAGTTTGAGACTGAGGTAAAACCTACTATTCATTTTTTCCATTGGGATCTTATTTTTGTTATGTGCAAGACCTCATAAGAACTATCTGTCTATCACTGATGCAGTGTTGTCTACTTCCTGATAAGCTTGCCTGATCAACTGTTACTCATTTTTTTTCTACACAACACTAGGCGAAATTTTGTGAGGGTAACTTTAGAGGTTGTTTGTTAACTTTGTTTTCTTATATATTAAACAGTTTTTAATTGAATATGGCGTGTTATTTGATCAACGTATACCTCAACAAGTTTATGAGATGACCATTTGATCACGTTGGTGGTGTGGGAGAAGTTCTGACAACCTTTCTCATTTTGGACCCCAACTCGCACGCCAAGCAACAATCACACAAAGAAAATATAGTACCAACATGAATGGAGCACTAATATGCCTATTTGGTCAAAGTATCCATATATGATACATAGCGGATTGGGATTAGGTGGGATTAGGGGGACGAGTGAACAAAATGAAGCCAGTTCAGACCGGTACAATATTTATAATAGAAAGGAGGTTTGAAAGTTCTTAGGTATTCTGGGAAAATTCATGAATCCTTTTACTATAAGAACGTCTCTTTGTTTGCATGTGTTTTTTTGGGGTGGAGTGTGATTTGTTAACAATATTTGAAGGTCTAGTTGATGAGCTTGAAATATTAGTGACAAAAAGTGGAATAGGAAGTTGATGTGATCTCCAACATTTATTGCTTATACCTCAGTGACTCATATCGTATCCTCTTCAAGAACCCCAAGAGCATTTAGTGGCCTGAATTCATATGCTAATTAACCATCATAAGAAAATTTAATTTGCAGTATTTTTCTAGTAGAAAACAATATAAACATTGCTTTATGATTATTTCAAGATGCTGTAGCACTGCTCCTTATTGCTGATTGCGTTAAATGTGTCATTTTCTTTTATGAAAAACTGATCCATTTATTAGGTGGTGCTAAGTTATTGGTTCTATGGTGACAGGCATCTGGAAATGTTACCCTTGAAACAGTGCACAAGATTGGACAAACAGGGGTGACCTACATTTCTAGGTAACTGCCACTCTTCCCAGTTTTTAGTTATTTGAAAGGTCGTTCAAAATATAATAGAGGCAAGAAAGAAAGATTGGTAGCAGAGCAAAAATAATTGATGGAGGCCTTAAAATCTTACCTTCGGATATGTTCCATCAGGTTGTAGAAATGCTTGGGTTTTGAAAACTTTTTAAACAAACATTAGGGTGATAAAAATATTATATAATAGCCATGGCTACTAAGGTTTAGATGCACTGTTCATTGGGTCAAATGATTCACTATCCTTCCAAAGCTAGGCCACAAAAGAGCATCATGTCCTATTAGACATTGGAGAAGTCCTAAACCCTCAACTTGGGGATGTCTTGCTCTTCAACATGAAATATGATACTTCCATGAGAATATTAAAAGGTGCAGAACAGTAGAGCTTTTGAATGAGGATATGCATGTCACTTGTTAGCATTAATCTCATGTCGCTAAAGGTAATTTTATTCCCCCTGATGAGCGCTACCTAAGATGAAACACATCTCTACCTAAAGAATAAGAGGATTATATCTTCTGTCACATGTTTGCAGGAGATACTGTTGAGTGATGTTTAATGACAGCCTTTTAGGCTGGCTGGCGAACAAAAACTGGGAACATTTGGTTCATGCTTGTGCTATTTCCATAGGAAGTTTAAGGAAAAAATAACATTAATTAAAGGAAAATTTCACCTCTTGTTTAGTAAATTGGAAGTGAGTCAAGCATGGTTGTTAGTATCGTATGATACACGATACGTATCATATGATAGCGTCACGATACAGAGGTAAAACGATACGAATCGGAGTTTTATATCGTTTTTGTATAGTATCGTCCGATACATGATACGATTTTACGATACGAAAAATACACAAAGTCTCTGTTTTTTATTTTATTTTATTAGAATGCACTGTAAATCAGCAAAAACAGAGACAAAGAGAAGAATTACCAATCCATCAAACCCACAAATCAGCAAAAATACCCAAGCAAAAGCAAAAGCAAAAAAACAAACAAATTTTTGAAATTGAAAAAAATAGCAACACTTACCTGTAAATTTCGAATGAAATCCTAGGTTGGTTCTTCTTCTTCCTCGCAGGGGTACATTGCAAGAAACCCTAGAAAACTGAAAACCCATCGAAGAAGTAGATCATCCAAGACGATTGAAGCAGAGAAACACTCAGTCTCACGATCGTTCTATCTCATGATCCCTCTGTCTCACGATCGTTCTCGCGATCTTTCTCTCTATGTTTCTCGATCGCTCTCGTGATCTTTCCCTCTCTGTCGTCTTTTTTTTTTCCCGATCAGGCACTCTATCCTCTTGGTCACTATGTTTTAAAATATGGAGAATTACACTTAGACCCCTTAAAATTTGTTATTTAATCTCTTAGACCCCATAATATTTAAAATATTACACACAGACCTCCTAAAATTTATACACCGTAACACTTAGACCCTTGCTGTAAATATATTCGTTAATAAATTACATCTAGACACCCTAAAGTTTGTAAATATATATTTTATTATTAATTATTTAAAATTACACCGTATATTACGATACATGATACGATATGATACACTATTTTTTAAAAAAAATACACCTTCTGATACACAATTTGACAACTATGGAGTCAAGTGACACTCCACGAGGTTTGTAACTTTTAAATTCCCCTTTTTGTGACAGGGTACATAGTCATTTAATGATTGATGAGAAAATAAAAAATGGAAAGAAGAAGTAAAAGACATTTCTTGGCAGCAAAACTTAAACAAGCCATGTATTTGGGTACAAGACAAAACATTTTACTTATAAAAAAAAATGAAATGAATTTGCAAAATCCTGAAAAATCTAAATAAGTCAAGTAAGCATCATCTCTCTTTTACTTCTTTGGATCGTAAGATTCTATGATTGGTAATTCAAATTGATCTGAATCTCTTGTAGAATCCCAAATTCATAGGATATTAATAGATTGTGATCCAGATCTTATATGGTCATGGCTTCCATTTGAGTTATCGCATTTGTTTGTTATGCACATTTAGTTATTAAGCTAACCCAATTTGTATTTCTTGTTGTAATACTTAAAAACACAATACAAATATGATTGTTTCTTACACAATTGATCTCCTTTCTAGTGATTAATCATAATTAGTTAGTCTTCCATTTGAATCGTAAAATTTGTTTATTCAATATTCTAGCAACTTTTCAGGCTCCTCCTCTATACTTGTCTCTATCCCAAAGTTAACATTAAAGTACTTCAATTCTCCTATTCCTCTTGTACTCACAAGTATAACTGCGAGCCCTTGATTTTCAACCCTCTTCGATGCTTAGATTGTAGTTTCTCAAATGTTATGATTCGTATTTTTTGTATCATTCCTATTTGTATATATACCAGTCTTGTTTAACTATTATTTTCAATAATTTTGTACTACTGTGTATATATTTGTCTCATTTTCAATTCGTAGAATCTTATGATTCTCTGCTATCCCTATTCTTTAGCCTACCCCATCGTTCCAAGGTAAGATCCTAATTTTAAAAACCTTATAGACCCTACATATTTAAAATATTCACTATTTGATATCTCTTGATCTTCATTTTTTACTGTTTCCCAATTTGGATTCCTGCATTTACTCAAGTTACTTCCCGATGGGAACTGCCACCTAATAAAATTAATTTTGGCTACTAAAAAATGAGAAGAATAGGAAAAGGTGTTGCCACGAACTCCATTTCTCTTGACAACCTTTCTTCAAAAAGTGGGTTTGATTGTGCGAGTAACATAGGTGGGTTTTGATGGAGGTGCTTCGATGAAGTCCAATGACACGAAGTGGGGTTTTAACTGAGCTGTTTGCTGTGGATGTGTTTTGAAAATTGTGAAGTTGATGGCTTTCACTTGCTTTCAAATGGACATAAGGTGGCGCGCCTCTCATTTGTGTGTGCTTGTGTTTGTATGTGAGAGAGAGAGAGAAGGTTTTGGTGGCTGAGTGGGGTTCTGGCTTTAGGAAATTAAGGACAGTCCTGTTTGTTCGGCAGTCAAAGGGTACTACCCCATTATGTTTGACAAACAGCTTCCAATTATAGAATTGAAGAGGTGGAAGTTTGGACCACTTTTCAATCTTTAATCATCGAACTTACACGTCATACCGATCAGGTTGTAATGTGAAACTTTGTCCAATACTGTGATGAATCGTCTCAGTATGGTATAGATGGGAATGTGGTATATACTGAGTGGCATTGGTCCTATTGGACTCGCACGCAGGACCACGATAGATTCACAAATTGTAATATCTTAATATGTCAGTGGGGATCTGTCTCAATAGATCTTCTGACCGGTTAATTTTATAGGTTACAAACTTTTAACGGATAATATTGGGTTTATATTGTGTTCAATCAGCTACAGTGTAATAAGCATCCTTGATTATGTAGTACCTTATAGTTTCTGTTGTCTTTTATTGATATCTGAAGCCTTTTTCTTTTGTCTCTGGAAATGAATCTAAATTTTTTAGTTAGAATCAACATTTACTCTTGCATGAGTTTCTAGCTACTTGTCAGGATTACTTTATGACTTGTATTTTTTATTTGGTCTGGTGATGTTTGCAGCGGCGCATTGACACATTCTGTGAAAGCACTCGACATCTCCCTGAAAATTGATACAGAGCTTGCACTTAAAGTTGGGAGGCGTACAAATCGAGCATGATCATCTTTCATCTTGTGCTTTGTTCCATGGATCAGCAGGTAATTACACTGATAAACCATATTTCTTTTGTCAGAGGGTAACAAAAGGAAAGAAAGAGCACATCAACCATTTTTGAAAAAAGACACTGCCCTTCATGTATTTGTGCAATGAACAAACATTGTATAAAAGATTGTGTATGAAAAATTCCACACTCTGTAAGTAATGGCTAGTTTTGTTTCATATGGAGTTTATCTGGCTAACTGTAATACTCCTATCGAACTCCATTACATGAACAGAAAGGCTGCATGGCATGGGTTTGAATAGTTACAAATTTGTTATAGATCCAATTGACGGGGTTAAACGCTGTATCTTGGTTATTTAGATTGTGTTCTCAACCAAAAGGTTTGATGGAGTTCCATGCAAATAAATCTCTGTTCTGACAAGATCAATGTTCCAAAACTGGTGGTTCAGCATTAGACCAGTGCCTTGGCCTTGTGGTAAAATCGGAGTTACTGGATAGCAGGAGCTAAGTTTAAATTTTCATCATCTACCCAAAGGAAGATTGTTTATTATTCAGTTGGTGCCTTACAAAAGACTGACCACACCTGAAAATAGAACTTCAAAGTATGTGAGGACTTGCTTAAGTTTATTATTCAGTTGCTTCAATCTATTGTGGTCGATTACTAGTTGATAATGAATCAGCTATCCCGTTCAACCCCTGGCGTCTCAATCTGTGCACGTCCCTGGGTGATATGGCCTCACTTCATCGTGTGGCTTTGTGTTTACCCCATTTATCCAAGAGACGGCTTTGTATGGAGCAAACAATTTCACCTCCTATAATTTGATAAAAGGGTAAGGTGAGATGCTTTGGGAAAATGGTGTTGCCAAATGAGATAATGATATGCTTGGGCATGGTGCTTTCTGCCCAACAAAAACACTTCGTCAATATTCTGTTCCAGTGGCGAACTTGTACTTTCGTGCAAAATTTGACACCACGAATGATACACAATTGGAGACAATTTTTTTTTTTTTTTTGTGTAGCAAGTAGGGCATTTCTAAGTTGGTGTTTTTGGTTTATTTGAATTTTCTAACCTACCTCCCTATTGAAAAAGTGAGGAGTAAAGAATTTTGAATTTGTGGGGTTGGCTTGGAAAGTATGATCAACAACTTTGTGCCATGACTAAGCCGAGTTTCTTGACAAGTTTTTGAACTAGTCCTTCAAAGTATGACTGTCAACGGATCCAATTCAGACTAAATTTTTATCTGTATAAATTTGAATCCGATTAAAAATCTAAGGTTCTATTTCGATCCATTTATCCGATGAAATCGGGTGTCTCATCCATTCTTGCGTCAATATCCGAACAAATTTTGAGGCCTAACAAACAAAGGCCCAATTCTATGTCCAGTTCCCCTAATAACAGCAATTTTCCAGAATGAAGAAAACTCCTTAGAGGGTATTTTCTAAGAAAGATTTTTTTTTTTTTCCCATTTTGGAGAAGAGTGCGATCCATTACATATTTTATATTCTATTAAGATATTTTTCAAATAGCTTCAAGGTATCCCGTCCATGTAATCTAGGGATTTAGACTAAGATACTAAAAAATAATTTTTTAATACATTACATATACTTTTCATCCACTGATTGCATCACAAGTTTGTAACTTTTATTGTTTTATTTTATCTTTATTTTTACACTCCATATAAATTCCGAATAAAAATATATAATTCTTCAATACCATCGCTCTATCCCTATAATTTGAACACCGGAAAGGCTTTAAACTAGATGTATCGAAATATGACACGAACGGTTAATACGATACGAAATTAAAGGGATTGGTTCTTTCTTAAACTACTTGTTTCGTAAAGGAGTAGACTCGATCTAACATGATTAATACGCGAATTAGGTATAAGTGAAACTAATCAAAGAAAATATATAACATGACTCATGTATATACTGATTATATATTATTCAGACACAACACGAATCCGATATGATACGATTCGTTAGATACGAATTAATAAATGAATCGAATATGAGTAAAATATTTTTTGACACCAACTCGTTAAAATTTGACACGAATTCACTTTATCCGACACAAATTTGCCTCACCCAACGCAATTGTCAAGGCTAATTTAAGCTGCTATGAAAACTTGTAATATACTCTACGCCAAGGTCACATCTCCGAAAATCTATGGTGCCAAACTTTGCGTAAACAAGCACATCGCGAGGTTTTCTTCATCTTATGGATGCCAAAAGAGTTTGACCACGGTATCCAAAAAAGGAATTTCGTATTATTTTTGCAGTATCCTATCAGTCATCTTATGGGTGAAGTTTACTTACTTTTGGGGTGTTCATTTTTCAGATTTTCTTACTATTTTCTAGAATAAAATTTAGAAAAATATTATTTATACTTACTTTAGTGACATTATAGATTATAATTATTAAATTGATAGTGGGTCCCAACTAATAGTATAATCCATTGTAAATTTAATGACAACTAATAATAAAGTCATCAAATAAGATCACTAAATAAGATCTATATAACATTATTCTAAAATTTAATATCTTTAGAGTGTTTTTATATTTTTTGCTATCGCCGAAATTTCGGTACCTAGTGTTTTCATCCCCAAAATGTGGTCATATAACTTTAATGGTAACAAGTGGTAACATAAATGACATATAAATTCAAACGTCCTAAGTTTAAATCTTGATAACCTTTGAGTAAAGCCATGCAAAATGAGAGATTTATCTTTTATTAATACACTAGCCCCTATGTGGATGATCTATTTTTAATGAAACCGGTGAACAAATTGGTTGAAATGAGTATAAACTCATCTAACACCCTCAACTATTGAAAAAAAAAAAGTTGTCGTACCGGGAAACAAACGCAACGGTGGTGAGACTAAGAAAATAGTTTGAAAAATCATCCACTTTGTTGATTTCTTACACGCCTAGGGCATCTCATTAATATTGATTTTCTAGGGAATGTTTGTTTGTTTTAAGAGCAATGATATGTAATCAAAATCTGCAACTCAAATTTGTATCCCAAATGAAGGAGGATTATTGGATCAATGGGTCTCATTTAAAAAAATTGATGGAATTCATTCATCCAATGGTCTCCCTTTATTTGGGATATAAATCTAGATTTATAAATTTAAGTTACATAGTATTTTTCTTATTTTAAAAGCATTGACCGAATTTTAAGGATTTTGTCATATGTAGGTGTAGAAAATACAAGTCTCTGGATAAATTTCATCCCACGTCAATTTGTTCATTGAACAATAACTGTACTTTTTCCACCGAATTATGTATAAGAATGTGTATGATCAGCTGTGTTTAGCGAGTTGGTGTCGTGTTTAGTTAAGTTTTTTTTTGACTCGTTTATTTGACGGATGTATTCGTTCACCATCTGAATTTATTAAAGTCTAAATTCATACAGATAATTTGATATGGAGTTTGCATCAAGTTTTCCATCTAGAAATGTCAAACTTAGGTGTATAACACCATTCCTGTAATTATCTTTTTTTTTCAACGATTATTTCCTATGTATAATAGTTAGGTCATGTAAAGCGGGTTCATGTTGAATGCTTCTATCTTCCTATTCATTAAAAGATATCATATAACTTACTTTTCTCTAAAAGGAAAATAGGAGTAAGATCTCTTTTAATATATTTTTTATTTAATTTTTTTTTAGTACATCATCTATTATCTATTCAAATAGGACCCATTATACACAATTGGGCCCTTCACTCGTCGAGGGACCCATCGATTGTAAGTCTCTTACTTGTTAACGATGGATTATGTGTCAACATAGAAATTAAAAAAAAAAGTATATTTGACGTAATCTGAATCCTAGTAAACAAAGCAAATGAAACGTTTTCAACCGTTTTAGCAAAATAAAATAATCGAAAAAACGAACTATTTTAGCAAAAAGTGAATGCGTTGTCAGAAATTGTGGCGCACTAATAGAGATGATAGCTTTACACTTAGAAAAGAAAATCCGACACGAAATTGATATGTGGACGACAATTTCAGTGTTAATTTTATTGGATTTGAATGATAAATGATGGATAGTGACGGTCCAGATTTAATTGGGTGAAGTCCAATTAACGAGATAAGTCTAAATCAGCTGTAAAGTGGGTCAAGTCTAATTCATAGATTCGATCTAGTCCAAAAGGATTAGCGCACGGAAAAAATAAATTATAAAAATAGCTGCTTTCGAAGATCAAAATAATCTTTAATTGTACTTACCTGACAATCTTTAATTATACTTACCTTTTGTAGGTATCCTTCCCAGAGAACTAGTACACTTATCCTCACGTCACCGCTTTAACAAAGATTTTGTGCCTATAAATTGTAAGCTCTATTTATATGAGAGAACACCTTCCTACATATCCCTCATAAAATTTTCTCTCTCTTAACTATTGTACCTTTCCTGGAGCTAACATTTACTCTCCTCTCTCTCACCTTACTTTATTAATAAAGGTCTCCAGTCACCATTGTCGTTTCCTGGAGTGGAATAGGTCATCCTAACCGAAACACTATATATATTTTGTATGTTGACCCAAAATTTACCTTTTTGTCATTGATTGTTTTATTAATTGTCTCATTAATTCTCTACATCATTTACTCAATTGTTGATCTTGCATAAAATTATTTTGTATATTATCAGATACGTCTGATCAGTCAAATTAACTAGTCGACAAAATTCAGATGAAATGTAACTTACACACAATGCGATATGAATTTAATTATACACGATTATCAATTAATCAAACATTAAGATATTAGATTTTTAAACGAGACAAATTGTGGCCATGTACCAAAAAAAACACAGCACGCCATGACTCACTGATAATATTAGTTCATACATAGCTAGTAAAATCAGTTGTATAGCTATGGTAGCGAAAAATTATTTTTTGTCACCGCAATATATTTTTTTCACAAATAAAAACAAGACACTTATATAGTAATCTAAATCCATTTTTTTAATATAACATTAAAATTTAATTTTTTTATA